AGATGATTTGGTAGAACATGAGGAAGAAGAGGAAGCCAAAACTGGAGATTATTTAATAGAGCACGAGGAGGAACAAGACGCCAAAACTGAAGATTATTTGGTAGAACATGAGGAGGAAGAAGAAGAAGCCAAAACTGAGAATGATTTGGTAGAACATGAGGAAGAGGAATCCAAGACTCGTGATATTTTGGCAGGATATGAAGAGGAAGATAGTGAGCTTCTCAGTATTTTGGTAGAAGCTGAGACGGAGGCAGAGGAAATTAAAACTGAATACATTTTTGAAGATCAAGAAGAGACTAAAATCAGAGACGACGAGGAGGAGGAGGAAGAGGAGGAGAAAAATGAAGACGTAGTAGAATATGAGGATAGTGGGGAGAAGGGGCCAGAAGAACCTATTGTAGTAGAACAGGAAGAGACCAACACTGAAGAGCCATCAATGACGCACCTTAAAATACTGTTATCTGAGAAAATCAGTAATGACAGCGCTGTACCTGAATCTGCTGATGGTGAGGAGGAAGAGAAAGAAACTTTTTTTCCTGTTTACGAGGAGGATAAATACTCCAACATCCTTGATGATCATGATGAAAATAACAACAACAGCGAAAGCAGAAAGACTGAACCTAAAAGAAAGAGGAAGGCCGATGTTACCCTTGAGAGATTTGGAGGACTCAAATTGTCTCACAAAGCAGAAGGCCACAACAAATATGAAAAAGGTACTAAACTCTTCCCCTCACATATTTGTCATCATGTTTTTCATTATGAGGCTATGAAAATACATAATGCATGTATTAAGTAATGTTGTGTTTTATGTGGAATGGCAGTGTTAATTTACATGCTCTTTGAATAGTTGGTAATGACAGGACTAAAGTTATTCAGACCTAACATGTAATGTACTGAATGATTCATTTAACTTTTTTTTTAATTTTTAATGTTTAATATTTTTTGTCACCGTTTTTCTTCTTTGGGCTAAAAATGTGTGAATGTTTTTTCTAACTTTTTGAAACATCAAGTATTGGAAGAGTATTTTATGCCACGTATTTTCTTTTTATAATTGTCTTAGAAAATCACTATTAGTAGTATTACTAATGAAGATATGGTAATAGATATTTAAACATACACCACAAACATACCCAATGTTACATACCATATATATTTAAAAAAAAAAAAGTATTTGGCACAAATTTGTAATTTGTCTGCAATTATTTGAAAAATACCCTGCCTGCAATTACATTTGTTCAACTTTATATTTAAGCTTGTAACAGATATTTAAGCCAATATAAGTAACATAATGAAGTAAATGCAGAATAAACACAAAGAATGTATGCTTAAATTCAAAGAGATTTTTAATAGTCATTGTCAATCTAACACAGATTCTCTCCTGTGAAATACAACTAAAAAAAATAATCTTCAAAGTCATCAACAGTGAATCACATTAAAGAAGTCTTTCTAGTATCTGCTGATAGGAAATAATACTGAACCCAGGCCTAAAGGTTAAAGTGCTAGCACAATACCATAACAATAAATGCCATTAAAATGAGACTTTAGCTTTAATAATAGTAATTTCTTATAGAATCTAACAATAGAAATATAAATAACAAAATGTAACACTTTAATGCTGTATTTCAAAAGGGTGCACAAAAGTCAATATTTAAAACACAAAAAGACAGCTGAAAACCCAGAGTGGTGAACATTATTCTCTCCAAAGCAGCAATTTGGCTTAGTCCTTTACACTCAGCCAGTTATTGAGGCAGACTATTTTGTTGACATCATCTGAAGACAAAGAAGCACTCCTCTTTTGAATGATGTGACCTGAGAGTGAGAATAATCTCTCACAAGGCACTGTGGTTGCAGGGGTTGACAGGTATTTGCATGCAATAGGTGCCAGCCTGGCATGTGCTCCTTCTCTCTTTAACCACCACTGTAGTGGACACTCCTCTATGTCTATTTTGGGCTCTGCTTTGTACCGATCCAGACAGCGATCTATAGAGTCTTCCTCTTCCTCTGAATCTGAATCTGAAGAACCCAGCAAGCAGATGGCGATCTTTCTCTTTTTTGGTGATGGTTCCTCTGTTGTCTGAGCAGATGGTTGATGTGCATGTGTCTCTGCCATCACAAGGTCATGTAATGAAGCCCACACCTCTCTTCTTTCATCTTTGGAAACACACTTAAGGTCTTTAAACCTGGGATCAAGGGCAGTAGCGATCTTCAGCCATGTCAGATTGATGCTGTCCCTCCGCTGAGCTAGGTCTGTGGTAAAAACCTTCTTAAACCTCAAAACGTAGACTGGGTCATCATCTGAGAGCTCCATAACCCTGAACAAATAACACAAGGCTGGCAACACCACGGAGCAGGAGACATACTGCTTCCCCCCCAGCAGTTCGGTCACATATCTGCAATAGAAAGAACAAAAGTTGTAAACAAGCCTATATTTTTATATTAATCACACAGAGACAAACTCACAGAGGTGGAGGGGGAGAACATACCTGAAGACGGAGCTAGAACACAGAACACAAAGGTAGACGCCCACACACACATGATAAACAAAATGATTTACCTGCAAGGTTCAAGTAGTTCCTCCAGCTTTTGCAGTATGTCAAACTCCTGGTCGGTCAACATAGTCACCATGCTGTTTTGCTGAGCCAGGATGGTGGTCAGCACAGATTTGTTTCTCTGGATGCGCTTGATCATCTCTAGGGTGGAGTTCCATCTTGTTGGAACGTCCCGAACAAGTGGTTCTGTTTTTTGTCCATGTGCAACTTGCTGTTCCTTTAATTCCTGAGCGTTCGCTGGACTCTGCTTAAAATGTCCAACAACCTTGCGACATTTGGCCAGAACCCTTTCAAATTCACTGTCGTTAAGAGAAACTGTGATCGTTCTTTGCAGAATGTGGGCCGTGCAGGGCATGTGTTCAAATGGAAGTAGTCTGGCGGCTGCAACCATGTTACGAGCACTGTCGGTGCCAAACGTGGTTAACTTGTCCTTGATTTTCCATTCATTTGCAACACTCAGAAAATGGTCAGCACACGCCTCAGCACACTGTCGCTCTTCAGTTTTACTCACTGTTAGTGCAAACGATTGTAGTGTCCAGTCGTTATCAATAAAATGCGCCGTGACGCCAGAGTAGTTATCGTTGTTCACCGAAGTCCAGCGATCTCCTGTGAGAGCGACATTCCTTACTTGCACAAGCTTGCTGGACCGCTGATCCCTCTGGTCCTCATACAAAGTGTGCAGTCTCGACACGATGGTTCCTCTCGAGGGAAGATTATAACGCACGTCTCCTGATGCAACGCGAATGACTTCTCTCAGTCCATCATCTTCTACTATGCTAACTGGTCGGCAGTTTTTAGCTATCCAAACAACCAAAGAATTGGTTAGCTTTTCACTCACATGTTTTGTTATCCGTCCACGAGCACCATAATCCTGAGGCGTAGATTGGCAAGATCCCGTAGAGGTGGATTCTGGGTGTTTTGCTCTCAGGTGATAGCACAGAGACGAATTGCTTCTGTGGTACCTGAATTCAGCTTTGCAAATTGTGCACGTTACTTTCGTTTTGTCCAACAAGCCGTTAGGCAACTTCTTAAAGTAAAACTTCCCCCCCAAAAGCCCGTCCTTATCCATTGTTGCGTGTTTGCTTATAATAGCATGGTAACACTTCTTCTTCGTTTAATTATTTCCGGCAGGCAAAACGCCAGAATAGCACAATGCTGCCCCCTCCTTCAGAGCTGCCGATGAGTTAAAAGGTCTTGTATTACAGGGGGGAAACTGCGTTATTTTTTTTAACGCGTTAAACATTTCACATTAATCTCAAAAAATTAACTCGTTAATTTTGACAGCACTAATATGTACAGGTAATCTTCTGTATATGAGCATATGTCCTAGAGTGGGTTTCATTAAGATCCCATAGAAGTATTTTGTGTGCCCAATCAATTTTCAGGCAGACACACAGTGATAAAGTTGTACATTTCCAAAACACCAGGCTGATTACTTTTAACAGTATGACGATGATATTGTGGCGTGTTTGTAATCATAGTTTTTTTTTAAACACTGTGATGCTTCTAGTGCTTTTGCAAGCATGATTATTTGTCATGTTAACTGTATTACAAGTCCAGAAATTAATTATTGTATGTTGAATATTTTTGAATATTTCTGTATGCTGTATTTCTGTATTTCTGATATACTTTAGTTCTGAAAGAAGCAAAGGAAAGACATGCAATAGAAGAAGTTAAAGATGGCATTATTAAAGGTACATTTTTTGAAACTGTGCATGTTTTTGATTTTTCTCAGCTTATTTTTTCTAATATTAAATTGTAAATATTTGTGCCAATTTGCCACGGGTAATCTTGTGAGGATGCATTGCTGCTTACAGATCTCAAAGCTGCAGCACCTGTGATGGAGAAGAAAAAAGATAAGGAAGCCAAAGAGTTTGAAACAGTAGAGATAAAACCAAAAGAAGTAAAACTAAAGGAGAAGCCCGAAGTTGACGCAAGACCTCTTAAACTGAAAGAAAAGAAGCCCAAAGGTAATAACGTTATATTTTGAAATTACAAAATACTGTTCAGAAGTATAAATAGACTTACAAAATATGAAAAATAAATACAAAATATATACAACCAGAACAAATGTATACCAGTAACTTCTCCACACAAAGGGCACATGATATCCTTTTATTCCCTACAGAATATATTAAACTGACACCTAAATTGTTGCTTTTAGAAGAAGAGCCAGTAAAGAAGCTGCTCAGAAAAGATGTAAAAGAACTGCCCAAAGAAAAGAAAAAAGTTGTCAAACCTAAAGATGAGAGGGAAGTGAAAGAACCTCCCAAAGGAAAGGACGAGGCGAAAAAAACAATTCACGCAGAGGTCAAAGCAACAAAACCACCTAAGAAGGAAACAGATCTCAAGAAGATTTCCAAAGAAAGGAAGAGGGTAATGAAACCAGCAACAGAAGAGGAACAAGTCAAAAAACCTCCCAAAGAAGAAAAGGAAATCAAGAAAACACCTAAAAAAGAGAAAGAAGTAATTAAAGCTACCAGAGAAGTTAAAGAGGAAAAGGAACCAATAAGACAAATAAAGGAACTCAAGAAATCACCCAAAGAAGAGAAAAAGATCAGAATACTAGAAAAAATAGAGACAGGTGTAACCCAACCTCCTAAAGATGAAAAGAAACCACCTACAGTAAAGACAGAACTTAAGAAACTTCCTGAACAAGATAAAGACTTGAAGAAATCTCCCAAAGATGAGAAGGAGAGAAAACGTCTTAAAGAAGAGGAAAAATCTCCCAAACAAGAGAAAAAAGTTAAGAAACCTGTCAAAGAAGAGAAGAAAGAGGAGAAACCTCTTAAGGAAGAGAAACCTGAGAAGGAACATCTCAGAAAAGAGAAGGAAGAGAAGAAACCTCTTAAAGAAGAAAAGGAAGAGAAGAAACCTCTCAAAAGGGAGAAGGAAGAGAAGAAACCTCTTAAGGAAGAGAAACCTGAGAAGGAACATCTCAGAAAAGAGAAGGAAGAGAAGAAACCTCTTAAGGAAGAGAAGGAAGAGAAGAAACCTCTCAAAAAAGAGAAGAAAGAGGATAAACCTCTCAAAAAGGAGGAGAAACCTCTCAAAGAAGAAAAGGAAGAGAAGAGACCTCTTAAGGAAGAGAAACCTGTGAAGGAACATCTTAAAAAAGAGAAGGAAGAGAAGAAACCTCTTAAGGAAGAAAAGGAAGAGAAGAAACCTCTTAAGGAAGAGAAACATGAGAAGGAACATCTCAGAAAAGAGAAGGAAGAGAAGAAACCTCTTGAAGAAGAAAAGGAAGATAAGAAACCTCTCAAAA